TCAGCCAAGTTACTGGATAGAATGGATCAATTGTTTGAGAAACTGGACAGAACATGCTTTACTGAAGTTGTAAAACAAAAACAAGTTGCAACGGATATCTATGAAATTAATTTGAAGGAGGATTTAAATGTAATACAAATGGATCTGATGGATGACTTATCCTCTAAAGGAGATGAACAGATACTAAACCAGGAAATTGATTTGGATAATTTTTTTCTTCTGGATATACAAAAGAGCTTTGCTAAGGTTTGGAAAGACTTTTTTAGAAGTGACAAATGAAAAGATACATTTAATCAAATGGACATGCAAAAAAAATCTATTAAAATTCTGAAGGAGTTTTGCTTGGATACACAGATGACCAGCAAACTACCTCTGGGACTTTTTTTGAAGGGGTTAAAGAATAATTTTGAAAATTCAGGGAAGGTTGGCTTGTTTGATCAGGGCTAAAAGAAGAAAATAGTTATATCTGGTTGCCCTTAGTAGACTTCTGCTGACAAAGAATGATTGATGAAGCATTTGAATTTTGTTTTGTTTTTTACCTAAGAGATGGGTTATGGGGAGAAGAGTGATTATGTTTTATTTAGAGACAGTGATAAGCTATTAAAAATGTTTTTACCTGCTGAGATGAAGGGGGTAGTTACATTTTCTTTCTCTTTTTTTTCTTTTCTACACTCCCCCTACTTCTTTTTGTATTTTTCTGTTTGCATTTTTTTGTAGTTTGTACTGACTTTTATTCTTTTCATTTATAATTCTTAATAAAATTATTTGGAAAAAAAAAAGAAGTTCCACTGACTTTATTTGATCCTCCAAAGAAATTCCTCAAGTGTTGCTTTGCTGCTGCCACTTTCTCTCCCAGGTGTCGCTCTTTCCTCAAAGATTTGGGGGACGGCAAGCTCCACCCACTTCCTGTTTTGTCCCCCTCCTCAGTTTCCCCTGGGCATGGTGCCCCTTGTTGATCCAAACGTCCCTCGCTCCGAGAGCGCCACACCCCTCCCGGATCTTGGAGCGGGAGCTGAAGGCAGCTGACCACCTCGGTGTCATCTAAGCGAATGCTGGGGGTGGGAGGTTTCTCCTGCCTTTCACAGTCGTCCCTCGGCTCCGGATCCTCACAGCTCTGGTGCTGCCTTCGAAGGTTGCTCCGGTGCCATGGCAGAAAGTCACAATCTAGGAGGCAACCTTCGGAGCCACACTTCTGGAGGGGACTCAGCATCTAGATGGAGAAGAACAAGACTTTAGTACAGTACTGATTCCCTTCAGGTACTTGCCTGTCAACGAAGACCTAGTGGAGATGTTCCTCTTGAGACTGCTCCATCTGCTCATGATTCACCGGGTAGCAATTCAGACAGCCATCCCTCATATTAGTGCCTTGGTTATGGAACTCCCTATTTGTCTTTTTGTGTCTGGCGCTGAGTCTCAAAAGCTTCCAGTGCTCACTTATGACATATCTGTTTACCCAGATCTTTGGTATCAGCATCATTGCACATTCCTCTCTGGCCATGTCCCCACCTGTACCTAATCATGGCACAAAAATTCCCTGGCAATATCACTGTTCTGCCTTCGGATGTTGCCTCCATGTCTTCCTTGGCTAAAGACTTCATTAGCCATATGGGTGCTGAAGAGGCAGCCTCAAGGGGAATCAGATGGGTCAGGCTTTGTCAATCATTATTTTGGAGGGAAGTCAGGTGACTGGTAAGGACTGAGAATAGAAATAACAGAGTCACGAGAAGGACTGCCAACAGGGAGAGCAAATTTCATGCTGTCTAGTTCTCTAACAACTCAAGGATGGAGAGAGAGCCCTATAATTAATGGCACTACTGCCCTTTCCGCAAAGTTTTCAGCTTAAAATGAGTTTTTAGATTTTTAACTGAATGATTCAGTTCAATTCTCCATGTTTTAAAATCTTAATTAAATGTATTCAAAATTGTTTAAAAAAAAATGAAAATTCGGGAAAACATTTTCCTGAATAAAGACATCAATGTCATTTTGCTTAAATTGATGGGGGGAAACCACAACCCCACATCACCTCATTCTATAAGGCCAGATAATATGGGCCACTAATCTTCTTCTGCACCTTTACATCACTTGGACCAGCCCCTAGACCAAAGGTCTAGCAAGGTAGCAGAGCATGTAGTCAATCTTGGCTGATCTTGACAAGCTAAACAGGGTCAGGCCTGGCTGGTACTTGGATGGGAGACCACCAGCAATTTTCGGGGCTGGAGGCTAGACTGGGAAGGCAGGAAAACAATCCCCCAAAGGGAATGGCAAGGCACTTCCATATCGTCACCAAAAAGCTGTGCACGCCATGAATCAAGCTCAGTTTGGAGATATTACCTTTACTCCCACAAAAGCCAGCATGATTTGCTTTTAAAACATCGCCTTCTCCCTTCGTATTTTACATGTTAGATGCAATATTATATTTAATGATGCTATCAGGGAGTGGAGAGTGAATCAACTTCTGTTCTCTTCTATCAATGTTTTTGCTCCTGAATGACACAGAAGCCAGAAAGGAGTTTTGCTTCCTCAACCCTTCTCTCGCATAGACTTCTTCCAGTTTGCAAATTAAAAGCTATGATTAATCCTGCAATCCTATACAGTTTCACTGAATTCAGGGGGTCTCATTCCCAAGCAAAAGGCAGAAGAGTAGTAATAAAATGGTAACAAATCCCCTTGGCTATTAATTGCTACTAATTAAAATGGCCATTAATTCAGGCTGAGAGGCATTATACTGGGGTATACAGGTGAAGGTTACTGATGCCCAGTGGCATCTGGTTGGACATTATGGGAACAGGATGATGGGCTATGTGGTCCTTTGGCTCGATTCAGCTGGTTCCTTATATTTTTTGAAGGAACCCACCAATTTCAATGGGAACATACTTCTACAGAGTTTGGCAATAAAATTATTCCTATTAATAGGCCAGGAACACAACCTGGTAGCAAAAAGAAACAGGTCTTGCTTGAGGGAGCTTACAGGTGAAAATCCAAAAATGGAAAGAGAATAGAGGAAACAGAGGGACAAGTATCCACAAGGAAAGAATTTAAGCACGTGCATTTATATATACTCCTACAAACCAAGTTTCCTCTGAGAGATCAGTCTAAACAAAATACAGGGAAGGAGTAGCGAAATGCATCGTGAGCCCCTTGTGTTCAAAAGTGGAAAGAAGTTTAGTAACTTCTTTAGCGTGGGCCCCAGGGGTGATGTAGCCAAAAGGCGTCATCCACACACAAGAGAGGATTAGCAAAGTTGGGGAAGTCTGCTGGGTATGTTCAGCTGTTGGTTCTTGAGAAAACAAAACACCCCCCCCCCAAAAAAAACCCCCAAAACCACACACCCTTTCCAAGGAAGGGGAAATAGACAGAGATCCTGGGAAAGGGCAGAGCTAGCTGGAAGCCTGAACAGAAGCACTCCACACTGCACGTTGTCACTCTGGTTCTGCTCGTTTGGCTCCTAAACCCAAATACGTGTAGAAAAGAGGGAGCCGAATGGCACTCTGGAGAAACTCAGAGGCACTCTTATTTCATCTGCCAGCTGCTGACTCTGTGCAAAGCCTGCAGACAGAGAGAAAGCGGGAACAACTGGACTTGTTCGAGCTACACTCCCCACCCTGGCTCTAAATGTCTCCCTCTGGGAGGAGAGTCATACAACTTTCTGGCCTGCAAGGAATCCATCCATTTGCTCCGGTGATGGGAATCTGTCCAAAGCAGAAAGTATTTCAATGAAGCTAATTCAAAAATTATTTGCCAGAGTCTTGGCATCAGGAATGGAAAAGCATTTTGAGTGGAATTGTATTCCTCTATCCATCCATTATTAGTACTACTGTTTTTTTTTTCTTTTCTAGTGCTTCTCTAATACTTCATAGATGTGGGGAGGCGCTGGGACTGGTGGGGAAGTAATAAATAACTATGTGTGACTCAGAACCCCCTCTCCCACCCATCTTCATTCAATTTGGCAGCAGCTGTCGTTTTGGTTGCCCGGCAGACATCTCACATCAGCCTCTCAATCCTACAACAGAGCTGGACTATCTTCAGAGGGTGGGGGTGGGGAGATCTTTCAGAGGTCAGCCAAGCTTTCTTGGAGAGGACTTACACATGGCAACTACAATCTCTGAAGAGGCATCTTCCCCCACACGGTGCGTGAGCAAGAGGGGGTCTCTTCTAAAAGTATGTTTGCTGCTTCCATAATTAAAAACCCAAGAAAAGACTTTAGAGTGACCAGAGGTATTTCTCCCTGTTGTAGGAAATGTATTTATTTATTATATGAATGTATATGGCCACCCTGTCAACACATGACCCTGGCCGGTTAATGATCCATAAAGTAACCACAGTAATGATGAAAAAGAAACAGTTAAAAACAACTTTTTGTGCACAAAGCAAAACCCAGCAGAACAATCACCACAATGGGATCGTCCCAAATCTAGGCCCAATGTTTGGCAGAAGAGTTGGAGGTATGGTGCCTTACAAAAAGCTAGAAAGTTTGGGGTCATCCAAATCTTGGGGTTATGGTGTTCCACAGTGACAGAGAAGCATGCTGCCTTGTTCCCATTAGATGGCATTATTTAATATAAGGGATCTGGATCATGCCCATCTTGCCAGACCTAGTGGGAGAAACCAAAACAATTGGAGGTGGGTGGCCCTGCAAATAGCCTGGCCCTATGCCAAGAAGGGCCATGTAGGCAATAACCAGCACCTTGAATGGCACCCAGAAATTCACTGGCAGCTAGTACGGGTGTTACATGGGGAACCAACACACTCATAACTACCAATGCCACTGCATTCAGGACCAGAGGCAACATCCATGTGGTCTTCAAGGGTGGCCTCCTGTATAGTGCATTATAGTAGTCCAAATGGGAGGTGACTAAAGTATGGGTGACAGTGAGGAGGAATGGATGCAAATGGTGCACAAGTTTGAGCTGTGCAAAGGTCCTTCTAGCCACAGCTGCCACTTGCTCCTTAAGTAGAAGCTGAGAGTCTAGGCGGACCTCCAGACTGTGCATCAGCTCTGTCTGAGGGTGTGCTTCCCATTCAAAGCCAGAGATGGCAAGTCCCTAGCTGCAGGAGGTCCACAAATCCATAGAAAATGTATGAAGATTTAATCTATCAATTAAAACTCATATATACAATTAGGTTTCCACCATGTGGTTTGTTTGGTTCTTTCTAAGAATGTTGCATGCCAAACTCCCAACCATGGTGGTTTACAAACCATAGCTTATGGTTGACATGCTGCATAAATCCAGAAAATAATACAGGTAGTCCTTGTTTAGCAATCACAATTGGGACTGGCAACTTGGTCGTTAAGCGAAGTGGTCACTAAGTGAAACCATGACTGTGCTTATGATCTTACTTTAGCTTTCTTTTGCTTTACAGACCTGCAGAGGTCGTAAATGAGAGGATTGGTCAGTTACTTTTTCATCACCTTCATAAATGCGAACAATCACTAAAAGGTTGTTGTTAAAGGAGGACTACCTGTAGTTGATTTGGCAATGCTTGATTAGGCTAATTAGAGCTTCATGTGACATGAGAGTTCAGACAATAATTATGATTTAAGCAGGGGAAAGGCCTAATAATATTCTTTTGCCTTACAAAATTCTAGCCAGAGTCACTGAAGAGGTTAGAACAAGGGATCAGAGCAGCCTTGAAAATAAGCTCACCAGCAGACCACTGGGGCGTAAGCAGCAAAGAAATGCAATTTTCTCATTTCCCATCAGTCAATAAGGGGACAAGGGGCAGAACAGCCCATGCTTTTCTCCTGGCCCACAAGTAAGAGCAGATATTTATCCAGGGCCAGTCCAGGAACGAGGAGAAGAGGACGGCAGAGGATGAGATGGTTAGATTGCATCACTGAAGCAGTGAGCATGAAACTGAGCAAACTCAGGGAGGCAGCGAAGGACAGGAAGGCCTGGCGCGATGGGGTTCATGG